ACTCGTCTAACGTAGAGCCCTCTAGCGGTCATTTATAACCTTAATCGGTTGAGGTGGGCACACACAATGCGATCTGAGGTCGTTCGTCTTAAGAATGGTGGTAAGAGGTGCAAGGCCAGTGGAAATATACACAGGAATATAAAGGGAATTGAGTAGAATATATGTATTTTTTTTCTTTTTTGTGAAGTCAGATGGGGGTAACTTTAAGTTTATTTATCAAGAGCCTATCAAGTTTCAATGTCTAAAGTTTCATTGAGAACCTAGCAGTTAGTGGAATAAATGAGTGGTTTCAATTAGCGTAGAAGTTCGTTCCTTTAATTTTAATGTTATTAAATTTCATAAAAATAAATTTCAACTTCACATACTTTATTCTTCAGGAAATACTAAACGGTCGACTATTTCGTTAGTTTACCTAACTATTTTATTACTAGTTGTATAACTGCACGTATTTAATAACGAGTTTTATGACTTTTAAAAGTTGAACAACTATCTTTTATGTCGATTTTTACTGGCTTAATTTGCGAAATTGGCTTCGCATTTTTATCTCTAGGTCTTTTTCGTCGTATAAGCTCTAAGTGCCTCGAAAAAGTTTTATACCGATTTGTACCGGCCTGCTAATCTGGTTAAGTTATTAGCATTTTTATCAGCCAGAAATGAATAACGATTTAATTGTATGCTTTGATCAAGCATTTTATATAGAGTTGTCTGAATTGTATTCGGAAAACTTCAGAAATATATCCTACAGATAAAGATAAGCAAAAATGTTTGTATAAATGTATGTCCTAAAATTCTTCGCTTCGGAGGTACAGGGTGTAGATATTATTTTATTAAGAGTAAAAATAATACTTTTTGTGGTGGGACGTTTGACATTACTGTTTGACCAGCGGATCTGAAGCTACGGAAGGAATGCGAGAAAAAAAAATCGACATTGCCACGTTTATCTATAAAATGCAAAATTGCCAGACATGAACTATAAATTTAATATATTTTTATTATATATAATGTGTTTAGCATATATTCCGACGTATATTACTAAGGAATTTTAACGTAGTTCATATTGTTCGATATGTTTTATTTAATAACTTATTTCTTTCATTCTGTATAATCTGCTTATATTTAAAGTTGAAGATTTTTCAACGATATCATTGGCAAACCGGCATCGCAGCGCATGGCCGCCTATTCATCGAACATGATTGGTGAGAGTACGTCACAGGATTTGTTATCACGCGGTTGCCGTGGCTTTTACGCCTTTCCTATTCGCTTGCTTTATCCCCAACTTCACGGTCTCTTCTGAAAAGAGTAGGAATATTGAATACAATTGAAATATCCAGTGGAGGTGTCATTCTTTTGATCATTATTACTTTATTTCATTATTTTATACCGGTTATCCTAAACTTTATTCCTATATTTTTCATATATTTGATAGTTAACTTGTGTTTTATTGTTTTGTTATCTTGTTATAATGTTTTTCGTTCGTAGTTTTTAATTATTAATATCAAGTTTGATCGTATATTTGTATTTTAAAATGAATAAATTTGTTAAGGGTAAGACGCTACATAGCCAGACAAAAGAAATAATAGCTAATTTATATAGGTAAGTAGAATAATAATAATATAATTAGAATATTAAAATTAAATATTGGCTAAAATGAAAAGCACCACATTTTACCTAAATATTTTAGCTAAACTAAAATAAATATAAATAAACGTGGATGAAATCTCATTTGGTTTATTTCCTTGTGTTCATAATAGGGTTTGCGACGAAGAAGCTACAGAGAGTTCGCTTAAGTTGCCGCTTAAACGTAAACTTGAGCGGATATTTCTTTATACCGGAGTTAGCGTATCGGCTATAAAAAAAAATCACACAGAAGATAAAAAAAAAGGCTGAAAACTAACCCCGATAAAATGATATCCAGCCCTGGAAAGAGACTGCTGTTGAAACGCTCGACGACTTTTTCCAAGTGGTCAGGAATTTGATAAATAGATTTAATCTCGAATTCAAACTTGTCCCCACAATTAGAAAGCTTTTGCAAAAATTGCAGGAAGAATCGAATTTTCCTTTGGCAGAGAAACGCTAAGGGGGTTATTAAAATCAAATGAATTTTTTGGCGTAAATGTCAAAATAACAGATAAATATTAATGGAGCGGCCCATTAAATTGCAGAGAGAGATATATACAAGAAATTCGAAAATATAGCCAAGTATTATCTATTTGAATGAAACATATGGGTAGACAATGACCTAACCTTTAAAAAAAGTCCTGGCGGAGCGATGATACCATCTGGTGTAATAGGCAATATTGGATCTACTGGTGAGTAAAATTATGTTTTGTTTGCGCTTCCAAAGTTAACTATTTTCAAGATTTTTTTGCTGGACATAGTTATATCTAAAATTATGTATTATAGAAAAAAATATAGTTAGTATAGATATATAAATAAATATACCTCAAGACTCAGTCTTGATCATCTGCTGATGGCAGACATGGTTAGCGAAACGCGTCCAGTGTAAAATTAAAAGTGTTTTGGTGTATTGTACTGATTTAGTGTTTTATTTTGCTGTGTAAGACCAAAGGTTCCAACCCCCAGCTGTAATTATTTCTTCTATTATATTAACAACACATAATAATAAAATGATTCAAAATATTTAAGGGAGCTTTAATAAAAGCTTTTAGTGTTTATCTGCTAACTCAACAGTAACGATTCAAACAGCATAAAGTTTTTTGAAAATTTATTAATCTGAATATTATATTTATGATACACATTATTTTCATAAAACACCGTACGCCCATGCCTATTTTATGAATGAAAGTGGGCGTGTTTTGTTTACAACTGCGTTCCCCTGCCGATACCCCGTAGCTACAGATCCGTTGGTCACACTATACAGTCGAGGTACAAAAAGTAATTTTTACTCTCCGAATAGAACATGCTATTTTTTTGTAAACATTACAAATAATTTTTTAAACAATTTTTAACGTTCCAAATAATATAAAAATATTTAAAAGCAATACCTTGTAAGTAGTTATACAGGGTGGTCCGAACTGTATTCCGGAAAGTTCGGCAGCATATTATACTGACAAAAATAAGTAAAAAAGTTCATATAAATGTATGTCCTAAAATGCTTAGTTTCGGAGATACAGGGTGTAGAAGTTTCATTTTTATTTCGAGTTTTTGCAAATAATTTCTGAAGTAACGTCAATATTTACATGCAAATTGGTGTCTGGGAGTATTTTGACGCGAGAAATTTGATTTTGATATCAATATGACTCCTATCTGCAGGGGGCGCCACCTACATGTGGTTACGGCTCGTTGAATTTGACACTGTATGTCAGTTTAATAATATATGTTCGTACTTTTATGCTTGGGTGTAAAAGTGCTTTACTTTTATGCCTAGGGCGTTAAAATGACTTTTTTATATTATTAATTACGTCGCAAAAATTAATAGGTACCTTTTTGATGTTTGAAAAAAAAGTAATTTTGTTACGCTTTTTCCAACTAATTTCTAGATTAATGTCAATATTTCGATGAATTTATGTCTGGGTGTTTTTTTACATGAGAACTGTGAGTTTGATGACAAGACTTCCTACATGTAAGGAGCGCCACCTACATATTTTATTATTTGGGATTTTAAGGTTTTTCAATTCGTTACTTTTTGATTATACATGTTTCTATACCTAAAATAAATCGTTTTTAAGTTAAGATTTTGTTTTAAAGCGGAAGGAACATGTACAGGGTGTCCTATTTTCGTGTGTTTTACAGGGTATCTCGCGCTTACGGGTAGAGATACAAAGATGCGGTTTTTAAACACTGTGCTACTTTTTTATGAAACTAAAGATGGTATACACATATTTGTCCTAGCCCTCTAAATTCCTGAAATACAGGGCGAAATTGAAAATATTGCATTTTTCGACCTCCTTCAT